AAACAAAACAAAAACAGCTACATTATAAAGTGATGTAAATAACTAAAAACAGGAACATGTCTGTTGGTTTATGCCATGAACTTAGCAGATGTTTAAAGCCATTTAACATTTAATTTAATTTAATTCATTTATTCATTCTTTTAAAAGAAACAAAACAAATTCATAAAAAGAAAACATTGAATGAAAAGAGTGCAGAAAGAAGAAAAATCTTATATTTGCCCCTTATTAAAAAAATAAAACAACTTTAAAGAATCACTTGAATTAATCACTTTAATATCCACTTTAAAGCTAGGAATAAAAATAAACATGTTTTGTGTTAGAATTTAATTCTAACTTTAAAACTTATCCAACATTAATAAAACTTACCTCAAGTTGCCTTTTGGACGTGCATGCATATATTTGTACAAATTGTACGTGAGAGGAGATTATTACAGCCTCATATAAAATTCAATGATAATAATGATATCGGAACTGGATCGGTATCGGACGATATTTAGATTTAGGTATTGGGATCGGATCGGAAGTAAAAAAAAAGTGGATCGGTGCATCCCTAATATTATTATAATTCTTCTAATATATTGTTGTTGTTAGTTTTGCAGTTTGTGAGTTTCCTGGTTTGTGTGTTCTCTTCAGGTCTGGGACATTGAGTCTAAAGAACAAGTGCGAACCTTGACTGGTCACGTGGGAACGGTCTACGCTCTGGCTGTCATCTCCACCCCAGACCAGACCAAAGTGTTCAGCGCCTCCTACGACCGCTCCCTCCGGGTGAGAACTTTGTGTGTGTGTGTGTGTGTGTGTGTGGGGGGGGGGGGGTCAGGCTTCCTTCCTTCCTCCTTCCTTCCCTCCCTCCTGTCTGTCTTCTGACCGACCGACCAAACTTACAGTGCCTTGCGAAAGTATTCTGCCTCCTTGAACTTTTCAACCTTTTGCCACATTTCAGGCTTCAAACATAAAGATATAAAATTTTAATTTTTTGTGAAGAATCAACAACAAGTGGGACACAATTGTGAAGTGGAATGAAGTTTATTAGATGTGTCAAACTTTTTTAACAAATAAAACGCTAAAAAGTGGGGCGTGCAATATTATTCGACCCCCTTTACTTTCAGTGCAGCAAACTCACTCCAGAAGTTCAGTGAGGATCTATGAATGATCCAATGTTGTCCCAAATGACTGATGATGATAAATAGAATCCATCTGTGTGTAATCAAGTCTCTGTATAAATGCACCTGCTCTGTGACAGTCTCAGGGTTCTGTTCAGAGAGCATTATGAAGACCAAGGAACACACCAGGCAGGTCCGAGATACTGTTGTGGAGAAGTTTAAAGCTGGATTTGGATACAAAAAGATTTCCCAATCTTTAAACATCCCAAGGAGCACTGTGCAAGCGATCATATTGAAATGGAAGGAGTATCAGACCACTGCAAATCTACCAAGACCCGGCCGTCCCTCTAAACTTTCATCTTGAACAAGGAGAAGACTGATCAGAGATGCAGCCAAGAGGCCCATGATCACTCTGGATGAACTGCAGAGATCTACAGTTGAGGTGGGAGAGTCTGTCCATAGGACAACAATCAGTCGTACACTGCACAAATCTGGCCTTTATGGAAGAGTGGCAAGAAGAAAAACATTTCTCAAAGATATCCATAAAAAGTGTTGTTTAAAGTTTGTCACAAGCACCTGGGAGACACAACCAAACATGTGGAAGAAGGTGCTCTGGTCAGATGAAACCAAAATCCAACTGTTTGGCCACAATGCAAAACGATATGTTTGGCATAAAAGCAACACAGCTCATCACCCTGAACACACCATCCCCACTGCCAAACATGGTGGTGGCAGCATCATGGTTTGGGCCTGCTTTAGTCAGCAGGGACAGGGAAGATGGTCAGAATTGATGGGAAGATGGATGGGACCAAATACAGGAACATTCTGGAAGAAAACTTGTTGGAGTCTGCAAGAGACCTGAGACTGGGACGGAGATTTATCTTCCAACAAGACAATGATCCAAAACATAAAGACACATCTACAATGGAATGGTTCACAAATAAACGTATCCAGGTGTTGGAATGACCAAGTCAAAGTCCAGACCTGAATCCAATCGAGAATCTGGGGAAGGAGCTGAAGACTGCTGTTCACTAACGCTCTCCATCCAACCTCACTGAGCTCGAGCTGGTTTGCAAGAAAGAATGGGCAAAAAGTTCAGTGTCTCCATGTTCAACACTGATAGAGACAAACCCCAAGAGACTTGCAGCTGGAACTGCAGCAAAAGGCGGCGCTGCAAAGTATTAACGCAAGGGGGCCGAATAATATTGCACGCCCCACTTTTCATTTTTTTATTTGTTAAAAAAGTTTGACACATCCAATAAATTTCATTCCACTTCACGATTGTGTCCCACTTGTTGTTGATTCTTCACAAAAAATTAAAATGTTATATCTTTATGTTTGAAGCCTGAAATGTGGCAAAAGGTTGAAAAGTTCAAGGGGGCCGAATACTTTCGCAAGGCACTGTACTTCCTTACTTCCTTCCTTCCGAAATTCATTCATTCATTCATTCATTCCAAACTTCCCTCCTTGCTTCCGAACTTCAGACTGAAATTCATTCATTCATTCCAAAATTACTTCCCTCCTTCCTTTCTTCTCTTCTGAACTTCCTTCCTTCCCTCCCTCCTGTCTGTCTGTCTTCTGACCGACCGGTCTCTTTCCTTCCAACCAACCGACCAAACTTACTTCTTTACTTCCTTCTGAACTTCATTCCTTCTGAGCTTCTGACCGAAATTCATTCATTCATTCCAAATTTCCTTCCTTCCGAACCTCTGTCCAAAATTCATTCATTCATTCCGAACTTCCTTCCTTTCGAACTTCCTTCCTTCTGAACTTCCTTCCTTCCTTCCTTACATTTTTACTTACTTACTTACCGTATTTTCCTCCATACACGTCGCACCTCCCTATATGTCGCATCAGTCCAAATCTGTCTAATAAAGTGAAAACATCCGTAAATACTTTGCTTCGTCATTTACGTCGCATCTATTACGCGTCACCGCTGACAACCTGGAAACGTGGGCCTGTGTTGTGCCAAAAATCAATTGGCTGCCAAATGGCAGCCATGGCAGCGTGCACAGGAGGACTTTAACAAGAATTTAACAAGATAACCACCTAAAAACAATTATTTGTTTGCTAGACATTATAGTAAAGGTGCGTCGCAGTTGAACTTTTACTTAATAAATGCACTTCAGTGGTCAAATTAGCTGCATTTCGCCGGGGCAGCGCAGTGAAATGAAGCTGATTTGACGGTTGCTCCAGGTGAGCTGGACAAAGGAGGCAGGCTATAGCAAGCCGATTGTGTCATCAGTAGCCACTTTTTACCTATTACATGACACAACGACATGCCATACTACTCGAGTGCCATCTAGTGGCTGAAAATGGTAGTATTCAATATTTTCAGTCGGAATGAATGAAAACAGTCATATCTCAGCCAAAAATTGGTTTATAAATATGGGAAAAATCCATAAATACGTTGCTTCAGTGTATAAGTTGTAGGGCATGACAATTATGCTAAAAAATGTGACTTATAGGTCGAAAACTACGGTACTTCCTGACATACTTCCTTCCTTATTTACTTCCAAAGACTACTGTGAATTGCCATTTTGGGTTAGGATTCTAAACAACAAACAGTTTGAAATGTTTAAATAATAATAATAATGTTTGTGTTGCAGGTTTGGAGTATGGACAACATGATCTGTACCCAGACGCTTCTCAGACACCAGGGCAGTGTCACGGCGCTGGCGGTCTCCAGGGGGCGCCTTTTCTCTGGAGCTGTGGACAGCACGGTCAAGGTAAAGGAAATCATCTGTACCGGTCTGCTCTTGTTGTGCTTCTTCATTAGTGGTTTATTTCCCTTCTGTCTTTCATTTACTCTTTTTTTTTTTTTTCTACAAGTCACATTTCTACCTGACCAATAGGAGAGCTCAGTGAAAAGTTGAGCTTTATTCTCTGTCTCTTTCAGGTGTGGACGTGCTAAACAAACGGCGGACTACATGCCTCAGTGACTTCCACAGGATTTCTGTCTCCTTGCCTGTTTCTTTGATTGTGACTCCCTCACCTCCCGGTGGCCTCATCACCAGTGCACTTGAGGACGATGGTGTAGACCCTCAGTCATGTGGGGCGAGCTGAGCCTGAGAGACTTGTTTTCACTTCTCCTTTGAGGAACTTTCTCAATTCCAACTAAAACATGGGAGTTCTGAGCTTTAAACCTTCAGTGGGTTACACCGTGTAAGCTGAACCCTTCCTGATGCAGGATTAGATTAATTCATTCATTCAACCTTTATTCATACAGGTTAGTCTCACTGAGTCACGAGGACTCGTTCTGAACTGCTGTTCACACCAGCTCTGACTAGAGATGAGCTGTGGTCTTCAAACATTCAGAGAGTTTTTATAATGTCAGGGTGGAAAAGTGTGAAATTTAATTTGACTTGTTTTCCAGGTCTGTATAAGGCTGGACAAAACAAAGTATAGAAAAACATCTGTTTTTCTAAAAGTGTATTAATCATAACCACCGTGTTGCCAAGTTCTTAACATGAGATGTGTAATTGTTGTGAGACAGCAGGGTTTGTATTATCAGCTGTGGAAAGACTTTAATCATTTAGCATTATTCTTAAGGGTCTATTTCTGAAAACACAAAGAAAAAAGGTGGACTTGTTAAGTTGATACAGATGTGTAAAATTTTCTTACAGTATTTAAGCAAAAAATTATATATTTTTGCATATAAGTTAAAATAAATAGCAGTATTTAGTATTTTACAAGATGTGCTGAAAAGCCAGAGAAACTTTGTGGTAAAAAGTTCTTCACACGTCCAATAATGTTACAAGAACATCCAGATAAAACAGTCGATTACGTTTACAGATGTTTTCATGTCAAAAAGTGGCTCAGAATGGATAAATAATTTTAAATTGTGGAATCACGTATTGGAAGATGTGTGGAAACCCTGAAATATCTGAGTTTGAGGCGTTAAGGTGCCTGTCGTTTCATTAGCGACTTGTTTTTAATCAGTACCATGAAGTAAAGCGTTACTATCAGGAAGTGGTCATGCAGGTAGTTTTCTGTTCTGAAATACTTGAATGATTGAAAACCAACAAATTCTGAGTGAGGCTGTAGTAAAAAAAGAACAAATTCAGTGTTTCTCCTTTAAATGCTCATCCCTAACCTGCTCCTTGCATCTGAACAAGACTAATGGACCCAGAGAACAAAGACTAACAATTAGTAGGGAGAGTGATTTGCATGTGAGTGTAGCCCATGAAACAGCAACTCACAACAGTGTAAACGTTTTCAACAGTTTAGTTTGGACTGAGAAAGTTCGACACAATGAGAAGTGAAACATCTTTAGAAAACCGTAGAGCTCCAGTCGCCGTTAAAAGAAGCAAAGCGTCTTGGGACGCTCCGGGACAAGCTGCCTTACAGTTTCATGTAACCGGACCCCCGCCTGCCTCTTACAGAAGCTCTGCCGTTACACAGCTCTACTAACGATGCCTGAAGCGTAACGCTCACGCCACCGCCTGGGTTCACTCCGCTCTCACTCCAGATGTGTTTTTAGGAGTCTTTCAAGAACTCTTTAATGTGATTTTACTGTCGACTTTAGGCTGGACTCACTGAAGACACGTTTCAGACACCTACCAGCTCTTAGCTGAACTCTGGTGTGCACCAGGCACCAGAACTCGGACCAGACTTGTTTTCAACTCCATGTCTGAGGACTTGGAGGTCAGTTCAGTGGAAATCTGCCTTTATAAAATGGAGTTTAATGAGCGAAGCTTTTAAGATCTAGAGATTTAAAGATTTTATATTCGTGCCATGATGGGACTGTATTCAACGGTTGTACAGATGTGTAAAAATAAAATGTGTCCACGAAATGACAGTCAGCGACCAGAGAAGGAAGCTGGTCTGCGTGCATGCACAAGCCTGTTGAAGTGCAAAGATTGTGTTTCAATGAGTGCCATATATTTGAAGAAAAGAATCGTTTTTACTGTCGTCTCCTTCCTGTTTGATCAGAGAAAACCTCCAGAGGAACATGATGCAGAGCCATCCAGGTGCAAACCGAGATTTGAAGACCCACGTTGGGTAGAAAACAAACCCCCGGCTAAATCGGCCTTGGAGGATAGCCTGAGATCAAATGTGTTCATCGGAGAAACTTTGTCTAAATAATGTTTTTATTTACACTCAGATCTTTTCAGCTTCGATAAAGAAGACACGGAGAGACGAGGAAGGAGACAAACTGTCCTCGTGCATCACAGTTTCAATAATTTCTTGTACACTTGTAATCATTTACTCTTGAGTTTATCATTGATCAATAAAACTTGTAAACCAGAAGGATGTGGACTGATCAGTTTGATCACATATTTATTAGTCTTACACAAATAATGGGTTATTTTATCCTAAGTTTGATGGAGATGGATTTAAAAAGATTTTGAGAGCTTTGTGTTTGAAGTTACAAGCTCAAACAAAAAGGATCGGATTTTATTTTTTACCTACAACTTCAAAATGATGCAACAATCATGGGATGTTTTATGAATCAGGCTCTAAATTATTGCTGTTTCCAGATCAGCTTTGCAGGTTGGAGTCTAGTTAATCATTTTCAGCTGGATGGAAATCCAGACTATTTTCAGGCCATGCTGCTGAAATATCTGTTTCTTGAAGAAAACATCTTCACGTTCTTCATCCTGTGGTAAGCGGCTTTATCTTGAAAAATGAAGATCTCTAAACATCCTTATAACTGATGGATTAAGAAAAGTGTCCCAAATCTCAAAGTAGACTAATTATTGAAGATGTAATTTTACTTTACACACTTCGATCCGTCACACTCCTTGAAAACTTTAACCCATTTATCTGAGATCATTTCTTACAGTTCAGTCTCAGACTCCAGTTTTCATCTCGTTTGTTTCTCATCTGTTTTCTTCATTTTCTGTTTGACACATTTTCTACATTAACGTTTCGTCTTCCTTGGTCTACCATTATACTTCCCTTTTACAACCTTCCCATTTGGTTGGACTGGGTCCAGATTGTACACAGCTGGCTGTTGCAACAAGAAGTTTCAGCTGGAGTCTCCGGCGTTGGAGCCATGATTCATGAACATCTGCTTTAACTGCTCTCCAAGGTACGTTTGAAGACAAATCATCAGCAATAAGCTGATGCAGTTTTTTTCTTCTACTTGATCTAAAAAAAGCCACTGGCAAATATTTGTCTTTATGTCTTCCTCCTTTTCTTAATACTAGAAGGTTTTGGGTCCGTGTACATTCAGGTGGTTTGTTTTTTCGTTTGAAACAAAAAAATGAAAAAACAAATAAGTTTTTCTATGTGTTTAGTTGTTTTAAATTATATTTTGTTGAAAAGAAAGCAACAATAGACACTGGTCATAATTTATCATTCCTGTTAAGAATTGTTAGGGAATTTTGGTCAAGTTTTTCTGGCGTATAAGTCGCAGGTTTTTGCATAACTTGCACACCCTGCGACTTGTTTTTTCCCCAAAATTTATAAACCAATTTTTCTCTGAGATCTGACCGTTCTCATTCATTCTGACTGAAAATATTGAACACTACCATTTTCAGCCACTAGATAGCACTCGAGCAGAATGGCATGCCTTTGTGTCATGTAATAGTTAAAAGTGACTATTAATGACACAGACGGCTTGCCATAGACTGCCACCTTTGTCCAGCTCCGGGATCATGCCTGGAGCAACCGTCAAATCAGCTTCATTTTGCTGCACCGCCCCAACGAAATTAAGCTGATTTGACCTCTGAAGTGCAATTATTAAGGAAAAGTTAATCTGAGACACACCTTTACTATAATGTCGAGCAAACAAACAATTGTTTTTAGGTGGTTATCTTGTTAAATTTCGAAAAAATGCACAGCAAGTCGTTTTTTTTTTTTGCGCTCCCGCTTCCGTGAATCGGCTTTTGAAATGCAACCGATTTGACCGTCAAAGTGCATTTATTAAGGAAAAGTTCAACTGAGACACACCTTCACTATAATTTTGAGCAAACAAATAATTGTGTTTAAGTGTTAATCTTGTTAAATTCTTGTTAAAGTCCTGTGCACGCTCCCGCGGCCGCCATTTGTCAGCCAATCGATTTTTGGTACAACACCGGCCCATGTTTCTGGGTTGTCAGCGATGACGCATAATAGATGTGACTTCTACGGCGAAGTGACATATTTATGTATTTTTCCGCTTTATTAGATATTTTTGGACTGATGCGACTTATAGGGTGGTGCGACGTGTACGGAGGAAAATACGATACTATGGCTGAGAATGTTAACTGCCTGTTGGATAAAAATATCCTTACAATATTTACTTAAAGGAGCTCGCACACGATGTCAAGAGATAACAAAGTCCATGCTAAATTATCCAGGTATACAATTTAAGATTTTTTCAGTCAGGTCATCTGGACAGTTTCTTTTATTTGTGCTGAAATGTTTGGAAGGCTTTATCAGTCAAGGAAACACAACAAAACTGATTCTTCCCCCAACAGAGCTTACTCCAAAGTGGAACAAACCAGTTGGAGTAAGCTGTTGAGGGAAGAATCAGTTTTGTTGTGTGTTTCCTTGACTGATGAACCCTTCCAAACATTTCAGCACAAAAAAAAGAAACTGTCCAGATGACCTGACTGAAAAATGTTGGATGTCAAGAGATGTTTCAACCCAGTTTACTTGCAAGGGCAGAGTTCACAAAGGCTTACACAGATGTTTCATTAAAGCCCCGGTAGTGCAGATCTGCGCCGGACAGTATACAAGAAGTGTTTTTAATACACGAATTTCAGCACGACAACAACTCCCATGACTCACACACATGGTTCAACATTAATTTAACATTAGCAGTAAAAAACATCCATAAAACTTTACCAAAATTCACCTGACACTGCCCATGAACCATGTGTTTGATTTAACAGAGAGAGCTGGATGAGGAGCTGGTTTGATACTGCAGGTGCAGCTGGCAGTCAAAGGTCACCAGTCTGTCTGTGAGCTGATAAGGTTATAAAAACAAGCCTCGCACACTGCCCGTGGCAGATTCTCATGACTGGGCTCCATGCGTGTAGAACTTCTGTACATCTGTGTGACCTGTTGTGAAAATCTGTCCTTGCAAGTAAAACCGGTTTAAAATCTTCTCCTGTCATCGAGTGTGGCTTCTTTGAGTTGCTAAGAAAAATACAGGATATTTTTATCCATCACATACATATTCTGTTGTGATTTTTTTAGCAGAGACATGAAGGAAGCTTAAATACTTTTGAGTTTTTGCTCCATGTTTTAATGGATGCATGTTTTAACAAGGAAAGACAGTTATGTTTATATAGAACACTGATTTATTGAGAGAAGATGACCACATGGATTCAGTCGCTGCAACACACACACACACACACACACACATTTCACATGTCAGTAGCAGAACAACATATTACAAACTTGGCCTCCCTCAAACCCTGCAGAGCAGAGACACCAGGCTCTGTTCAGAGAAGCAAAGATGGAAAATCTAGTACAAATTGCTTTTTATGTAAAGAAAAGACTTGAACACTTTTCAACGTATTTGACCATCGTTCTTTGTTTTACCCTTTGACTCCAGCCCCGACCCCACAAACAATGTGCAAAAGTGTAAATTGTCTGTACTTAAATAGCGTCGTTCTATTTAATCGAGATACTCAAAGTGCTTTACAACACAATCTGTGCCTCATTGACCCATTCATACAGCGCTCTACTAGATCTATACAAAGATAATCTGAAGCTGTAGAGATTAATCTGAGCTTTAGATCACATTCATTCATACACCGATGGGACACATCAGAGGCAATGAGGGGTTGGTTCAGTGTCTTGCCCAGATGTGCTGTTGACTGCTAGTGGAATTGAACCCCCAACTTTCCCATTGGAGGACAACTGCTCTAACCAATCAGCCACAGCTGCTCCAAAAATAAAACAGAAAATAATGTTTACAGCTTGAAAAATGAGCAAAATGAGTCCAAAGTGAGGTGAATTAAAAGTTAAATGTTAAACTTGTAGAAGCTAGCTGCAGCCAAGTTCACGCTCAGTGATGAAAACTTGTGAAATGTAGAAGAACGTTTTACAAAGTTATATTTATAAAAATTACATAACGTACATCTTAAATAAACAGCGATGTACTGATTAACATGTTCATATCAGGACACTGAAGGTGTGGTAGCCAAACTAATGGATTAGAATGTTTTTAACATTTCATTTTAGTTTTCAGGAATATATATAAATATATATGGTAACACTTTACTTGATGGGGTGTTCATAAGGCTGACATGACACTGTCATGAACATGAACGAGTCTATGAATGTTCATGACTTGTCATTAAGTGTCATTCTGTAAATTATGACACCTTTAATGCAAAATTGACTTTGGCCAAAATGTCTTTGTCATGACAACTTGAACACCCCATCAAATAAAGTGTTACCATATATATATATGTGTATGTATATATATATATATATATATATATATATATATATATATATATATAT